AAAGCTACTAATTTGCAAATGTTAAACATATTGTAACTAAACTGCACTGAAATTTAGGCCAAATTCGTGGATGCGATCCATACGGATGCGAAGTTCGGATCCAAGGGCTACGGAACCTATGAGACATCCGGCCATTTGGACTTTTATCCTAATGGAGGTCAGTATCACACAAATAAGCATGCAGATTTATGATTATAATAATGTTTGTTAAACTACTATAGGAAAGGATCCACAACCTGGATGTAGGGCACAGATATTAACCTCATTTCTCACATTTGGTATGTATACTTAAAATCGTCAAGAATTTAATAAAGAATATTCTGATATCAAATTTAAGACCCTGTTGAGAGCGCCAGACGCTTGATATACTGTAGCCATCAGAGGGCTGTGGACTTCTATACGGCTACTATTAATGCCAATAACCGGAAAGGTGTGGGACATGAGTGCAGTGATTACGACGCCTACCTCCGAGGCCAGTGCAACGATTGTGGGACTAATGGTAGCAAATGTGCGATTATAGGGGAACAGGCCGTACAGTCCCATCAGTTTGCGGACAGTACTCCGGGCACCCGGTTCTTCCTGACCACTCGAGATACCAGTCCTTACTTTTAGTCTGTAGTGTCTTATATTAAATTTATAAGGATATACATTCAAGGGTATATATTCTTGTGATTAATAAATAAAATAAATTGCCTTTAATTCTCGTTTCTAAAATAAAAAGTTTTTAAATGTTCCTGATCTTACTGTTTAAAGTAAATTAAATTTGTCTTTGAATACGAAATTCAATGTTTAAAATGATAATGAATAAAATTATAAATTTGGTTTAGTTTATAAATATAACTTGTAAATTACGACATTTTGGATAAGAAAACATATGTATTATTAAAATATTTAAAAGATTACTAATATTTGATTGTATAATATTTTATTTATTTAATTATTATTTATATGGCCATGAAAATTGTCCAACCAAAGGAATATAAATTATAACTAGCTATATAATGTATATTAAAATATATAAATGTATATTAATGTATTAAAACTCTATATTAAAAACATTCTTCCCCTGGTTTAGATAATCATTGCAAGGTTATTTTGAATAATTGAATCATTTATGAACATTTAATAAGAATTTAATATAAATATATATTTATTGTACTAGTTACTTTGTGTATAAAAATATTAACTTTACATTCACTTGCATTTTATTAATTGTGTTCATAAAGTTTTCAACAGTAAAATTAATATGTCATCCAATGTTCACAATGAGACTGATGTGAAGACTACATCGGGTGTAGTGAGGGGTCAGACAATACAAGTGCTCAATACAAATGTGTTTCAATTTTTGGGTATACCTTACGCCGAACCACCAGTCGGTGCGCTTAGGTTTGCAAAACCACAACCCATTGGAAAGTCTTTAGAAGTATGTATCACTTGTGTAACATTAGTAAATTATAATGTTTTGTATTTATAACAATAAGGGCATATTAGATGCAACTAAACCAGGCAATGCATGCATGCAAAAAGAATCTCCATTATCCGTATATATTCCCCACCAAAGTGAGGACTGTTTGATACTAAACATATGGACACCTAATGTGGGAAACAATAACTCATCAAAACCTACACCACTTAAATCCGTTATGTTTTGGATACACGGCGGGGGGTTTGTTTGGGGGTCGAGTGATATGTTTAACGGCGGACCATTGGCTACACATGATGTGGTAGTTGTTGCCATAAACTATAGATTAGGTTACTTTGGTTTCTTATACGGGGAAAGGGAGGATGCACCTGGAAATCAGGGCTTATATGACCAGTTATTGGCACTCCAATGGGTATGTAATTATTTTTTAATTTAGAATTTGATAAGTTAAGTCTTATAATTTAATTTATATTAATATAAAACGATATACAAAATAATAAAAATAGGTGAGAGATAATATCCATGCATTTGGTGGGGATAGGAATCAGATCACTATATTTGGTGAGAGCGCCGGTAGTTGGTCCGTATCGGCACACATATTATCTCCCCTATCAAAGGGACTGTTTAAGAGGGCTATTATGCAAAGCGGGGCCCATATGTATAATAAGGACAGGGATGTGATCAGTAAATCTGAAGCTTTGAAAGAAGGCAAACAAAAAGCAAAAGACTTGGGTTGTAGTGAATCTGAAGATTGGGTTCAGTTTTTGCGAAATGTAAACCCTCGGGAACTGGTGGATGGCAATAAACCGGTCACATTCCCAGTGTTTGGCACTGAGTTTCTGCCCCTTTCAGCACAAAAGGCATTTCAAACTAATCAATTCAACTCAGGTTTGACTTAATTGACATAGTT